ACCTGTTCAAGCAACACTGGGGAAACTCAATATATAAACAAATGGCCTACGCCAGTGAAGCTAGGGGTAAACTGTTAGGTGATTAAGAGTTATGTTGCTTTTGTCAAACATAACTTTATATTTTGGCTTTTGTGGGAGGCTTTTTGTTTTTTGTCTTTTTGAAATATGGTTTCACTATGCAGTTCACGTTTGCCTTGAACTCACTTTGTAGCCTAAACTGACCTCAAACTCAGCTATCATCCTACCTCGGCCTCCTCAGTGCTGGGATTACAGGTGTGTGGCACCATACCCAGCCTTCTTGGCTTTTGTTCTAGCCCTTCATCCTAATTGAGCTTCTACATATGCTTATGTAACTCTGCAAGCCATGTTCTTTGCCTACCCTTTTTTTTTTTTTACCAAGCCCAGCCTACCACAAATAAGCACAGAGAGAAAGAAAAGCTAAAAATTCAGAAGGAAATCAATACCTTAAACAATAGGTTTAGTTCAGTGAATATGAAAATGTCAGCAAAAGCAACCAGACCAGCCACCTGAAACCTGTGAGGGAAGGTGGGAAAGAAAAATGGGAAAAGAATTTACATAATGACCAGGAAAAATATAGAGAAGGAGCAAAAGAAGAGATGAAAGGAAAACAATGGGATAGGAAATAGTTACATTTTCTGTTGAATGTTGTAAACTATGCTCCTAATTGTATTTTTGAAGGTAGTGAAGGATAATTTAGTGGTCATTACCCTGTGCCATCATTTGGCAGCATTTAGACATGAGCCTTGTTACAAACTTCTGGTCGCATGCAGAGTTACTGTACTACATGGTATCTGAGTCCCTTTGTTGTTTTTCCATTGTTTGTGATGGTTACATTTATCCAAGACAAAATGTGTGCTTTAAGAGCTTTCAGTGTAGTAGAAAAATTAGGGGAAAACAAATATTTTAGTTTTTATTTTTGGAAATGACATGATAGAGTTATCTTTTATCTTAAGAACAATTTTATGATTGATTGTTACATTTTGACCATTCAAATCATCCACCAAACTTGAGAGTTGATCAGAATACTTGAAATAAAGCATGATGAGCCAGGGGCTGGGGAGATGGCTCAGTAGAATAACAGGCAAGCACAAAGGCCTGAGTTCAATCCCCAATTCTGGAAAAAAAAAACAAAAAAACAAAACATGATGAGCCTAATAGAATAAAGGATTAAGGTGGCATTGGCAAATTTATCTTTTAGACTGAAATAAGTATAAATATATAACATACATTGATTATACTAGTAATCCTTTATACTTCTGAAATTCAACTACTACTACAATAAATACAACAAAATTTTGTTTGGTTCATCAACTTTGAGAGGCTCAAAACAGTACTTTTTTTCCCCTCTACATAAATTTTCTTGTAGCAAAGAATCATTTTCAGTGCATTTTAATTACTTTAAATTTGCCTGAACTTAGGAAATAAGGAAGACTAGCATTTAGGGAATGAACAACACAGCCCAGGACCTAAAAGATGACTTATACTGGTTGAGCTCTTATTTATTACCTAAAGTCTGACTTAAAGCCTACTCTCTTCGTGAAAATTTCTTAAGCTATAATCACCTCCACACTGCTTTTTCTACTTTCCTAATTTGTATGATTCTTAAAGGACCTTTGGAAAATGATTGATAAGGTTGAGGTCATACTATGCTGTCATTTCATTCAGATAGGTAAGCTGGTTAGCCTTAGCAAGACTTAGTTTCTTTTGTGAAACGAAAAGAATGTAAAATGTGTTAACCTGTGTAAAGATGTTAGCATCATGACTTGCATATTATATTTTATAAAAAGCGATTGTTGCTGTTCATGAATACACAGTTGCCCCACTAATTTATGTGTGTTTACTGATGATGAAGAGGATTAGGAAGAATGGAAAAACTGTGGTAGTGACAGAGGGTGACTTGGGACATCCACTGTATATGTGATAAGAGAAATGGTAGAATTAGAGTCATCTGTAGTGATGACCTCCAAATGATTGCTGCATGCTCATTAAGCCAAGTGTGAGAGGCGGTAATGGAGAGGATTAGAAAAAGAGGTGGTTTCATTGGTGCTGGCAGTGAGAGTTGAAAGGTTTTCAAATGAGAGCATAGGTTTGTTTATATCCGGGAATAACAGAAAGCTGCCATACCAAATTGAATTGGGAAGGTTATGGTAGAATTGTTAGAAGGTTTTATAACCACATTATCCACTAGGGGACAGAGTCATGCTGTGAGCACAGATGTGGTGGTCATTTATAGTTAAGCAGTCTGCTGGTCTTCCCACAAGATGGACCATTAACTAACTCCATGACAAATTCAAATTCAGAACCAGTGGGAGCATTTGTTTCAACACACATGCACTCTCTCTCTCTCTCTCTCTCTCTCTCACACACACACACACACACACACCTTTTCTTGTTCACTACAGAAGATACTTAAATGGAAAGGGCTGACAAACCATTAGATTCAGTAGCATGACACTTCCCTATATAACTGACTCTTTCCATCACTCTTCAGCAGTATTACCCTATGTGAGTTGCAGACACAGGAATATAAAAAATGATAACCATGTAATAAGAAAATTTTAGGATCTAAACCTATAAGAAAAAAATGAGTCTTTGAAAGTACTTTTCTTATGTGGTATATATACACAGTTGAGTATTATTCAGTTATAAGAGTAAAGTCTTATGTGTAGCGAAATACATGGAACTTGATGTTGTGCTGCATGAAATAAACCAGGCACAGATAGTTAATGCAGCATATTCTCTCATGTGGAAGTTAAAACATGTCAGCCTAAAGGTAGAATGGTCATTACTAGAGATTGTGGCAGGGGGAATAAGGAGTAAAATTTGATCAGTGTACATTGCAGACCTATATTGAAATATCACTCTGAACCCATTAACAAGTATACATTCAAATGTGTTAATAACAAGTTTTAATACAATGTTATGAAGCTTTCCCCATTTTCTTATAATTCTATAATTATAGCTTTTATGGTAAGTTCTTTGATTCACTTTATGAGTGTTTGTTTTACTATCTAGGCCTTTGCAAATGCTATAACCTTTACTGAGAATTCTCTAACCCACCTGTTTTCTCTGTCCCAGCCATATACTTTGTATATATTCACTGCCAAAGCACTTAGTGCTTTCTATAATAGGTATCAATGTTTGTCATACTTACCACTGTTTTTCTACAGATGTTCAATAACAATTTGTTAAATAAAATGTGTGCAATTATTTGCCTAATGTATAGACTATTCCAAGTATTATAACAGTTTATCAATTCATAGTATAGTTATTGACACATGTAATTAAAACATGACCCTTGAGTTCTGTTTACAGTATTTAAAAAGAAACAGAAACAAAAACCTTAGAGATGCTGAGGTATAAATTATTGTGGTATTATTGTTCTGTATGTATCCAGTATTATAGTATGCACTGTAACAAAGTGCAAAATATGAATAAAAGTAAGTGTTTAAGGAATCCTAATTCAGGAGAAAGGACAGTAGAATTATTATACTACTGGTTGAAGAATTCAGGTCACCCAAAAATGGTTTGTTGAGGGCCTTGAATTTAAAATTTAAACAACTGGAATTCATATTTTTCCCCAGCCATTACTGAAAAACATCTGTGTGTTTAGGGCCAATCATGGGATTGATACTAAGAGTGAGAAGTAGGCAATATGTCTAGGAAAGGTGTGTAGTCCAAACAAGATCAAGTGGTACCCTAAGAAAGCACTCCACATTGAATGCCTGCTCCTGCATTTCAGTTTTCTGTCAGGTTTCTGGTCTGACATGACTGTGCTGCCTGTTGTGTCATCTTCCTTTACTCTGCCTTGCCATAAGTCCAAGCCACTAAGATGACTTAAGGGATTGAAACCTTTGGGGGAAGACATGGATTTTTAGCCTGGCTTTGCCATAACTACTGTATCAGTTTCTTTTTTTGTTTGTTTTGGTTTGGTTTTGGTGCCGAGGACTAAACCCAGGGCTTCCAGCTTGCTAGGTAAGCAATCTACCACTGAGCCAAATCCCCTAGCCCCCTGTATCAGTTTCCATATCTTACGCAGTATCTATTATCAGAGTTACTAAATAGTCTGTTGCTCAATGGAAGGACAGCAATAAGGATTTCAGCAGTTAGTCAAGATCTAGGTCACATTGCCTGAGATTCAGAGTAACATTCAAAATGGTTCACCCATCCTCGTTCTTTTAGCACTTTGTACTCATCATTTCTCCCTCAGATTCTGAAAGCAGAGCAATTTGTCAGATATCTTATATTCTATCCTTAAAAATGACAAGTTTAGGTCCTGTTCCTCCCAGTCTTTCTGATCTTTGCTCCATTCTGCCACTGTTTCCCTTCACTGAGGTAAAGCTGTCCCTTCTGCTCTTTCTTGAGTACCCCAGGCTCCCACAGGAGAGCCCAGACACACTCAGGTCATCTATCTCCATGAAAGATCTCCCCTTCTAAAGTATTTCCCTGTATCACCTTTTTTTTTGTTTAAATGTATTTAGTACAGGGTCTACAGGGTCTTACTACACAGATCGGACTCATAGTGATTCTCCTGTTTTCATCCTCCCAAGCACTGGGATTACAGGTGCATGCTACCACGCCCAGTTTCAATCCCTGTCTCAGCGTACCCCAGGGGCGGGCCCAGCACGGCAGACCAGGATCAAACCCAGCCACTGTGCTCTGCTTAAGCAGGCACTTTAGTCTGCTGATGTATCATCTTCTTATCCTGCTTTGTATTGCTTTATGGCCCTTCTCACTCTCATACCACCTGAAATTATTTTATATATTCATTGGGTATAAATTCCTTCATCAGTGCTGTATTTTTAGTACCTAAAACAGTTCAGAGTAGGCAGTTGGTTAATGTTTGTTAAATGAAGATTTAAAAGTTTGCATATTGTCAAACCTAAGCTTGAAAATTACTCTTTAAAAGTCATTCAGTGAGTAGCTTAGTTATGAATGCTGCCAAACAAAAACTAAATTGCACTTTCATTTTCTTCTAGAAAAATGTTGACTTTGGAGCAGTTGAGAAACTTTCTCTTCGTAAGCAGCGTTTCATGCAGTTTTCTTCACTGGAACATGAAGGAGAATATTACATGACACCACGAGACTTTCTCTTTTCAGTAATGTTTGAGCAAATGGAACGTGAGTTTTCATATGTTTAAGTTAAAAAATTAAACTAGTGCTAAAAAAAAAAAAAAACCTGTTTTTGAATTGATACTAGCTTTTCTCTTCTTCCTCCCCAAGGATGAGTTCCTTTGAGTGTACTTGAGCAGTGAGAGTTCCTGCTGAACCCTCACTTATAGAACAGGGCCTCCACCTTGGTCTGTGTGCCCCTGAGAACCTGCTAGCAAGGCAGTTCTCCCACCAGGACATTCCTGACACCTGGCTGCTAGAGTGAGGGCATCGCCCAGAAGTAACTGTTGTCCCTGCTGCCAGCTCCAGAGCTCCTGCCTCAGATTTGCCTGGAGGAGAGAAGCAGATAAAACAAGTATCTCCGAATCTCTTTCCAAAAAACCTAGCTTCACTTTCAACAGAAAATGGAAAAATTAAAACTTAAAGTCCACTCAAAAAACAGGTTATAGATCATGATAGAAGGTAATTGGCAGGACATTGATAGAGTCACAAAATTATAGGCTAAACTGAAGGCTGTCTACTTTGCAAAAGAACCCTAGGGAAATTGACAGCTGGGAGGAGCTCTGCTGAACCATAAGAAACATGCAGCATCACCCATGGGAATTACTCCTTCAAAGGAGCCCAGCTTTGATTGGATTATCACTGGAGCAATTGGCTGTCCTGGGAATTTGTGAAAGTTAGAAGTTAGTGAAGCTCAGCTCTTATTGTATGGTAAGGAAAGGAGACTAAGAGCTGTTGTTAATGCCTGTCACCCTAGGGTGATTGCTGGCAAACTGAAGTCTATACCTCTGAGAAACAACCTCAGGGGGTTGTCACTGTCAAGAGGTATAGTGGTCACTAATCTAACTGGTCATTTAACCAAGCAAACAACAGGGATAAACCAAAGGGGGAGGGGAAGTTAGTACTTAGAGTTGCTACAGTAGATGATCTAAAATATCCAGTTTCTAATAAATTATCAGCCATGCAAGGAAACATGAAAATATGGTGTACTAGACAATAGCAAGTAACAGGAACTGGTTGTAATTCAAACCAGATCATCAGATTTATATTTTAAAAAAAGACTGAAGAATAATCATTACAAATATGTTCAAAAAACTAAAGTAAACCATAATTGAAGGTTGTTTCTACTTGTATTATTCATTGGAATGCAATTAAACCATATCAGTAGGCATTTAGCCAAATCAAGAATTCAGTAATATTATGGGCCAAATAATACATCCTTTATGCATATGATGCACTTCATCTTCATTCTTCATTACGGATAAGAATTATCTTGGTTGTATTCCTACATGCGAATCATGAATAGCAAAACAAGGAAAAGCAGGGCCAACCCACTGACCCATGGTTTCCATCTGTACACAGAAAAGAACAAAACAATCTAAGATTCATTAGTTCGGAAACACACCTTCACGTGGTAATTATCTTTTTAGCCTCCTTGCAAATAATATACTTTATTGATAGCAACTGACAAGGCCTATGTAAATCTTCTTTTTTTTTATTTTTTTTTAAATATTTATTTATTTTTATTTATT